TTTGAAATTATACATCAGAAAGAGACAACTATTGACCACAGTTGAAGACAACTCCAGTACCCCCCACACACAAAGAAAACACCCAAAACACCCACATTCCAGTTCTGCTATAGACTGCAGCCAGGGGCTTTTCCCCAAAACACTACTTATAGAAAGAAACAGTTGTAGCCATTCTAAATAATTTGAATGTTTCAGAATCAATCTAAATGCTTCAGCAGATCCAAATCATCACATTACCTCCACCATGTTTGACATGTTCAGTATGAAGTTCTTTTATAAAATGCTGTTTTGGCTTTATGCCTCATGCAATGGGAAAGTACACCGCAGCAGTTCCAAGGTTGTTTTGCTGCGTCCACAGAATATTTTCTCTAAAGTCTTGGGATTCATCAAGAGGTATCTTGGTGTTGATGTACAGTATAATAGTTCTTTTCAGTCAGAAGTTATTTGGGGATTGCAACCATCGATGCCTATTACACTGTCTAAAAGTGTAGACAAATCAATATACAGATTTTGTTACTTTTTCAGCGTGAACATCCATGATTAGTGAGCAGTGACCCAGGTACATGGGCTCAGGCATATACTATGTTACTAAAAGCTCACACCAGGAATTATTTATTTTTTTTATTTCAGGAAACACATGTTCCCCTAATATATGTCTCAGGTCTAACAAACTAGACACTTCAGGTCTAACAAACTAGACACTTACATTATAAAAGTGGAGAGACTCTAATTCTACCAATCTTCACAAAGTTGGCAACTTCCTTTCCATACGTCTGAGATCTCCAAAAAGGAAATAAAACTCCATTAGTCTTATTATCTCATTGTTACGCTTATCAGAAACCACGGCCTATCTCATCCTGTGGTGTGCAGTGTAATTTCAAAGTGACTGGATGTAAATTTAGCTCTGCGAGTGTGTGTTGAGCCCATAGTGCCCTGAGGGTAAACATTCTGCTGGCAGACTGAAATGAATTTAATCGACTTGTTTAAGTGGGTGTACACGCATCTGAAAAATTCATGTCTATGCAATAAATCTGATGTAAAAAGAGCCACTGGTATTAGCAATGACAAAAGTGAAGTCATTAAACGGAAAGTCACTGTTTGATTTTTGCAACCTCATTGCCTGGTATACCTGCTTTCCTGTTTGCATTAAGTGGATGGTATTTGTGAAGACTGCTGATCTAGACAACACCAAAACTCCTCATTCATGCACTCTCTAATCAATGCAGTCATTTTGTGTAATCTAACTTTAAAAACACTCATGACACTAAGTTTGTCAGCGTTTTACAATATGGTTTTACAATGTGGTTAATTGATAGCAAAACCAAATAGCCTATTGGTGACTCATAATGCAACCATAAAGACTTTCTGAAGTTTCTTGTATTGAGTGAAATGTCACACAAACAGTGCAGTGGAAGTTATGTTAATAATTGCGAAATGTGAAGTCCAACAGGCAAAACAAACAGAAGACAACTATTCCTTTCCAGTACTACAAGTCTTTGTGTACGTGGGAACAAAGAAGAAGCAACACTGTTCAGATCGTATCAAACTGTGTAGTAAACCCGCAGCAAAATAAGATGCAGTAAATATTTAGCTGTTCTTATGTTCCCTGAAGTTTTTAGTATTTATCTGCACCTTTGGTTGAACAGCTGAAAGCCTCAAAAAACAATTTTCCTGCAGCTGTGTCAGTACAGCAGCTCCAGTTCCAGCAGTTTAACCTCTAACGCTGATCTGACTGTATGCCAAGTGAGTTATTTCCGGTTGCTAAACTGAAACATGGCTAGCAAACCCGGGGACAACCTTAAATGATACAGTCCATCATTTTATTGTACATCTGTCAAAAAATGTCTAAAGAGACCTGTGCAGTACTTCTATGATAACGTCATACTCATTCCTTTTGTCACTGAAGTTCACTGGATCGTGCTGGCCATGTAAACTGTCATCAGTCAAGTGAGAACTGAAATAACAAAATAAATAGAGCCCTATTCAACCAGCCACACTAATGTGAATCCACAGAATGATAAGATCGATATGTAACTTTGCAAGGTTAAGTGCAGACTGTACAAATGCACAGTGCAGGTGTAAACCTGCACATCAAGAAATTTTCTATAAATTGTATTCTTGTACTTTATTTAGTTTTGTATTTTTATGTGAAACCCTGGCTTTATATAAAAATCTTGAAGGGCATAAATAATTTGTGCGTGGTTTGTGAGTAAAGTGCCTTTTAAAGGAAATCAAATATTCTCCATGAAATAATTGGGTTTTAATGATTAGTGAAGAATACTGTAAAAGGAGAATCTTGCAACCAGTCGTTTCTTTTAAAAAATGAATAACATGAGTTTTGAATGTGTCAACACATTCTGCTTTGCAATGTACATTTCATTTAAAGCTGGTTTTCATTTAAGGCTCTTATATAACTAGCCAGAGTCCTCCTTGATTTAATTTTAAGGTAGATTTTAAAAAAAGCACATGAAACATGGAGTAACTCGTTTTAATAAAGTTATAATCCATTTTTTCAGTAAGAAAGGTTACAGGCTGTGCAAAACTTTTCAAGAATAAACATCCTGGAGGTCATTAGAAGGAATGAACTCCTAATTGGCTTTTCCTTGTGAGTGACCTTCATCCTTGTAGGGTCTGTATGTCATATCTGCTTAAAAGAAGCTACGAAGAAGGCTGCGGAATAGATTTTTTAAAAGTAATACAGCTTTGGAAGTTGTGAAGATACACTGGTTTAACAGGAAACCTGACAGACCAGTGAGAGTTCATGGAAAAGCCTCTGAAACTCCTTGGTATAAACAAAGATGTTGTTCATGGCAGGACATTGGTGGGGAAGTGGAGTTCTCTTGTTCCATTTGACATTTACCAATCTGTATCAAAATGTCATGGAATGCCAGATTTCACCTCTGAACATTTTGGTGGATCTTAAATTGCCTGAAACTATTGATCCCCAAAAAACTTTTTTGTTTTCCCATCTTGTCCTGCAGCATTCTTCATCATATCAGCTTTCCTAACATGGGACATTGCTCCAAAATCTTATTGCATATGAAACATCAATCCATTCTTAATGGCTTTATTTGGAATATTGATTGAGGAGCAAATGCGTTTGTCGAAAAGGCTTTGTGAAAATCATATTCTGCATTGGCAGGCAAAACTTGAAAATTGTGGGTATTATTTTTGTCATACCCATTGTTATTACCCCAGTTTTGCTGTGATATGTTACCGGGTGCTCATATTTTGGTTTCGTTGATTGATTCACGTTTATTACTAACATTTCTGGAAACTGGTTTCCCCAAAAACATTGAAAAGGTCTTCTCTTTATGCAGGAAAATGCTGTAAATATTTTGTGACACAGGGGAAAAAAAGAGCCCTTCGGTGTCCTACATTGTTCTTCTCATACAAATCTGATATCTGAAGATATATAGAATTAAACAGCTCATAAGCATTTGACTTTCTTTTAGTTCCCATGAGGACTTGTTTCTCACCTTTAGGTGCAGAATTTAGATCCTCTGCCAATTAATTTAAAGGTGGACTGCTGCTTTCTGGTCTATTTCTGTCCTTGCTGCCCTATTGTCATCGGTTGACTGCCTTCACATCAAGAGTTGGATTTATTTGACTACTCTACCAGCTCAGGCAGATAAACCCTGCAGCTACAAACCAATGTGCATTAGCTGAAGTCAGTGCTAAGATAACTACAAAGCATGAGAGCTGTCACTCTGATTTAACATTTTTTTCTCTGCACATCCAGAGTTTTGTCACCGTCTTTGAGAAGCTAAAAATTGTGCTTGATACACGGAGGATTGAGCTTGCCGTGACGCTGCTGTATTTCCGTTTACATTTCCTGAATGTGGCGCTTTTTGAATCCTTTGATTTAAAGTTTACTCCACACCCAAAGAGGATAATAATCTTAATTAGCTTTAACCACGCACAGTACATTGGACTGATTGTTAGCCACACACAACAAGCTTTGTGATTATCTTCTAACATAAAAAGAAGAAATTGTTGGATTTTAATTACACCAGTAGTGTGATACTATTAGCTGTGTGCACTCTGCTTCATGACCTCAAAATTAAACATCAAAAGGTGGTAAAATAAATATTACACAGGATGGCTGTTAATCCTGAAACAAGTTTATGAATCCTGAAAGAATGTGACTGAGCTTTTAATTAGCTTCTAAGTGTTTTTCTTCCCCTCACTGCTTTTCTAAAATGAGAGTATTGAGAAAGAAAAGGAGAATTCATTTGCTGGTTTGCCTTTTTATACATGGGACAGAACAGGTTAACTAAGTAGTTCCAAAATATTTTTGGCCAACTTCAGCCATTTATGTTTCAGTCTTAACAGTCTCTGTTTGAAAAATACAAAGAAGCTTTCATTTAAACCACATTGATAGGCCTGTATGAGATTAGACAATATGTGATATGTAATAACTTTCAGGTCAAATATATTATTATTATTTTAATTACTTTTACCAAGTTTTAAAACTCATAATTTCATTAAATGTCACTGATATTTGGGTGAACTGCTTTTAATCACAGGATCAAAATCATTTTGCAGAAATCCTTTTAAAGAAATACACATGCACACATACACACACAAATTCTAAACATAAATTTCATACACTTTCTTTAATTGATTTATTTTTCCCTATTCTCAACTGTTTACAATGACATTTTTATTTTTCTCTTTTTCTACCTTTAATACATCTTTATAAGAGCATCTTGTGATAATTGACATCAATTTTGTCATAAAGGAGTAATTCTCTTTGTTACCTATTCTTCTTACAATGTAATTAAATTCCTGTTAACGTAAGTGAATTCGACTACTATATGTTGAACTTGTTGCGAAGAATACCTCCCAAAGATGGGGAAACTCAGACAAGTGTTCATGGAAAGTATATCACACCACATGTGTCGCTCAATTATGTGGTAATTTTGGAAAGCGTTTGTGGTTAAAAGTCACAGGAGCTGCTTTGAGGGTCTAATTTTAGACCCTTTCGTTCTTTTCAGGTACATTCGCACTATGTATCTTGGGATACAAAGTCACCGGCAGAAGGAGAACCAGAGGCGCTTTTATTGGGCTATGATGTACGAGTATGCTGATGTCAACATGCTGCGACTGCTGGAGACCTTCTTAGAGAGCGCCCCTCAGTTGGTGCTGCAGCTCTGCATCATGATCCAGAGCAACAAGGCTGAGTGGCTGCAGTGTAAGTGTATTTTATGATTACTCTTAAACCTGATATTTGTGTAAAAATCAAGCTATGTTTGTTTTTTTATTGTTTGCACTATATGTCTAATATAAGTTTTAGTTTCCATCTAGAGCTGTGATGCTTTTATAACCAAGACAAAAAAATGATTGTCATCTGTGTTTCTCTTGAATTATTCTGAGTTCTATTCAGTTTTCAACTTTCACCAACGTTCTTACTGAACCTGGTTTTACAACTCAAGTTTCCTCATTCAATACTGTTCCCAAAGAAAAGCAACTCAATCATAGCATGCGGAACCTGTAGTGGATTGGGTGCCTGTGCCTTCATGACAGTTGCTGTAATGTTCTATATCGCTGTTTTGCAGAAAATCCTCTATCATTTTTCATTGAAGGGGTTGTTCCTCGGACATTCCGCTGACTTCACCATTATAGATGTCACAGAAAAACCAAACTGGTCCACTAAATAGAGATTGTGTTGACTGGATGATGTGTGATGATCTCAGTAATAACAATGCTTTCAAAAATGTGATGGATTGCTTTGGCTAGAATGAAATCTGTTTTCTGAGAGTGGAAGAACCACCGATGCAGTTTCAAACCATAAATTCTGGGGGTGTTACAACTGTTTACTGTTTTCAGACTTGTAGGTTCACAGTAGGTTTATTCTTTTGGTAGTCATGCAATTAAAAAATAAAGTATGTGAAAGAACGCTAAATCAAAGCAGATGGGAAGGAAAAATGCATTTTACAATTTCTTACCCAGTTTGAAAGGCAATGGATTTTGATTCATTTATGTTTTAAACTTCAAAGATTCAAAAGCTAAAGCTCCAAATCTTTAATTTGAAAATTAAAAGACCCACACGCCTTTTAGTGATACACATAGGTTTATTTTTTTATTTTAATTTATGATCTTTAACAAATATAATTTGTCCTTATGTATGATTGGTGATCCTCTGGTTTCGACCTTGTGTGTGGGTGTGTGTCTTTCAGGTCTTTCTGCCATGTCCTCCTTAACGTCCTTGGCCTGGGTGCTAGCCTCTTACCACAAGCTCCTCCGTGATTCACGCGATGACAAGAGGAGCATGAGTTACCGAGGAGCCCTGGTGCATCTTTTCTGGCGCCTTTTCACCATCTCTTCACGGGTGCTCTCCTTTGCCCTTTTTGCCTCAGTTTTCCACATCTACTTTGGCATTTTTGTGGTGCTCCATTGGTGCGCCATGGCTTTTTGGGTCATCCACGGCGGCACTGACTTTTGCATGTCCAAATGGGAAGAAGTACTGTTTAACATGGTGGTGGGCGTGGTCTACGTCTTCTGTTGGTTCAATGTACGTGAGGGCCGGACACGGTACAGAATGGTGGTCTACTACACCGTTGTGTTGCTGGAGAATGCCATCCTAACCTCACTTTGGTACGCATACCGCGACCCAGCCACCACTGACGCCTATGCCTCTTTTGCCATCTGTGGCGTCTTCCTGTGCTTTGCCTCAGGTGTGGCCTGCATGATTCTCTATTATGGGGTCCTACACCCCATGGGCCCCCGAATGAGGATGTTGGCGTCCTCCTGCTGTGCTGAGCTGTTATGGGGCCTCCCGTTACCACCTGAAGCTGAACCAATGGCTCCCACACCTGGGCCTCGTGGCTCCCAGGCTACCCCTACACGAGGCGTGGCAGGAGAACAAATGGGGTTAGACGAAACAGCTACAGACACATGCCTTCCGGTTTTCCAAGTGAGGTCTACAGAACCTGTAGACGCAGCAGGGAGGCCCATCCCGCCCGAGGGCCCGCTCATTAAAATAGACATGCCCAGAAAACGCTATCCAGCTTGGGATGCACACTTTGTTGACAGGCGACTGCGCAGGACCATAAACGTGCTGCAGTTTATTAGCCCCAATGCGGTGGGCATCAGGTATAGGGACGGTCCACTTCTCTATGAACTTCTACAGTATGAATCCTCCCTCTGAAGGCCCTGTCCGTGGTTCTATCCTCACTTTTTACACAGAATGATGCACACGCATTTTGTTTCTCCTCAGATGTTGCATCTTTCCATGTGTTCTCGGGCTCTCTTCATCACTTCTCGATGATCTGAAAGTTTTACAGTTTTTCAGGACATATTTTTTTGTCAACCAAAAACCTGACAAACAAACGTTCAAGAATTATTTTTGGAGAGAAAAAAAAAAAACACACACACACATAGACAAGAGAGAAAAAGTTACAGTATACTATTTGATAAATATAATACATATATAAATATATACGTCTCAGATAAATCTCTCTATACTGACATAGGAGGCTTCTAAATGAGTGTGTAGATAACATATGAATGTTTCATTATGAAATGTGTTTATGTGTTATACTGTGTTGGTGAATCAACCTGTGGATATCTGTGAAGGGCATATTGTGTGTCTCTCTGACATGGGACCGGTGCAAAACCTTATGGGAATGATGGAGGAGAGTCTCAGAGGGGCCAGGTCTTTGCACACCCTTAAATTTACTGCCATTTTCTTTGTAACTCACTGAAACATATGAAACACATAATGTTTACTAAGCCCTTAGCTAATTAATAAAATGTGCTTAAAAACAACCTGGGTGAAACTTCAAGATGTAATTTTGAGACTTTTTTATTACATGTTTTATTTTTTACTTTTTGTGTTTATTTTGTTCACGTGAACTGTATTGAATATATATATTTTTTAATTTAGATTAAAAATGCATTTAAATTAATAAGCAAGCACACTGACCTTCAATCTGTTTCGCAAGCAAAATATTTCTACAATGTAGACTGCCCTCTAGTGGGAAGAGAGCTGTAACAAATTGCCTTGTGTGACTCAAAGCATCAGCACAAAATCTTAAATGAACCATTTAGAAATAAAACGTTGTAGAAAAGAAGCACATTTTCCAATTTTATTATTCCAAAACGCATTATAAGCATTCCAAAGACTTTTTAGATAGCTTTTAGGTAGTTAATTAAGAGTGAAAAGGTATAAATGCATTTTAATATTCAAATGTTTGTGTGCCATACAAAGACAGCCTTCAGAGAATCCTCCACCATTCCCTTTTGACTACTGGAAAGTATAGCCTCCCTATTTTGTTATAAAATGTTCTTTACTTAGTTATAGTAATCAAGTGATAGGTGCAAAGACTTCTTTAAAAAACACACATCTGAGATATTTATGTGCCATCATACTTTATTGTTGTCAGTTATGGTAACTGAGAGCATATTATATTTTCCAAAACTTTCTGTTTTGACATAGCTCAATTCTATAGCGTTAAATGGTACACTCCTTACCAACTGTGTGCCCTTAAAAGAGGTAATAACCGTATGTACCCTGTGTGACTGCTCTGAAACTAGCTGATATGTTGAAACAAAGCCAAATCAAATCTTAAAGTACTGTCTTTGTAATTTAACTGCCCCTCTTTCCAATCCCCAACCCCCAGATGGATGGGTCTGTGCGAAACTGTGCCATCTTACTGGCATTGCTGTGCAGCCATTATAACGTTTAGAAACGTTATAATTTTCATTCTTAATTACAATTAAGAACCACTATTGATACCCCCAGGGACAACCACAACCCTCCCTCTATCTCACAAAAAAAAAAGAAATACATAAAAAGTATGTATATATGTCTACATAATACCATGCCTTCGAAGTTAAAGGAGCTTGACTAAAATTTCCACAGAGGGCTACTGAAAAATTCATGAGAATAATGAATGCATTTCATAATTCATTTCATTTATAAACTCAATGAGTCATTTGAAATTACGATGGGCTTATTTTGTTTTTCCTAACATTGTAGTGTTTGGCATGATTTTACCACAGTATTGATGAAACCCAGCAGGGGTTTCCCAAGAGCCCTTTACAACACAGAGATCCCTGTTTCCTGACTTACCGACGTTCGGCATAGCTGTGGCCTTGTGTGCCTGCTAACATTGTACTGTAAAAAGCAGATGCCCTGTAAGTCCTGGATAAAGGTCAAAGAGGGTTTTTTTTTTTTTTGCCAGGGATGGAAAAGAACATGAGGACAGAATGCTGTACGGGGACTGATTTGATATCATATGTTTGTGGGCGTTCACTTGTCCGTCCATAGACTTTTCCTATGGTTCTGTCCTAATGCCGAATGTTTGACTCCATCCTTGGTTGCTGCTCCACCCTCTTCCCTGACTGTTCAGGGCCTTGGCATACTCCTGCAAAACACTCTCTGGTCAATGAACAACAGGGCTGAGGCTTAACAAACAGAGATCCTGACATGAGAACTTGCAATGAGGTACACTGCCATGACTTAAAGCTCAAATGTGCGGCTGGGGTCTTCCACCCTTTAGCCCTAAATTATTGAGGATTGTTGGGTGTGCAAGGGTGAAGCAAACAGCCAGCACGCCAGATTGATGTACATCTGTATGCAAACAATTAAGTTCTTCTTTTTTGTCATTATATCAACTAGAGTAGTTTCTCTGCTTAGTGAAGGAACAGCCATGTTAATAGGTAGCTGATGAGTGATTAATATATAATAAAAAATAAAAAAAAGAAAAATAGCCAATAGAGGTGTTCCTCAGGACCAACAACCAAGACAACTGACCAAGCTGACTCAGGGGTGTCTCAATGCAGTTCTCATCCTCAGGCGTATCCTTTAGGGTCTGTATTGTTTGTTTTCTTTGCATATTTCATCCTCTTCTACGGGGATTGTATCTCTCAGTTCCAGTTTGCACTTTTTCTTTTAAAATTAACTGTTGTTTTAAATTAGAGTAAGGCCCTATTCTGTGGTAGTTGGCTGCCTGGCGGGCAGTGCATCCTTTCTAAACACTGCTGACCTTTTCCAGAGGTGGACTCATGTCCAAATCAGGTGCAAATACACTGTGACTCATTTCCCCCCTATCTGTCTGTGTCTAGGTGGGATAAGGTGATAAAGGATGGCGATGGGCTGTACAACAGTATTAACATAGCTCCACATACATGTTAGACTGGGCTGGATTTCATTTCCTGGTGCTTGTTGTATAATGCAGATTATCTATGCTTGTATAACTGTGTCATTAAAATAGAATTAACAGCAAAATAAATCATTTCAAAGACTATAATGCAAATGTACAACTCTAAATTTTTATGAAACATAGAGTATATTTTACGTATTTCTACCAAACAACCGCCGTTCTGCCACATTCTATAATCAATAATTAGCCAGATAATAAGTGGGTTTTATTTGTTATTTATATTTTTCCTATTATCTTTAAAATATACACGGGTCTCAAGAGTTAAGGTAGATATAGTGAAGTTAATGATGTTTATTCACAGTAAAGAGAAAAATAAACAGGATTCAGGGTGATTCATATTATACCATAGCTGACTTCGAGAAAAAATGAAATCTCAGTCAGGATATTTTTTTAATGCCAGAACTCCTGATGGCTGCAACACACAGCAAGAACATATGGACAAGTTTGTTCGTCTCAGTCCTTGTTGTGCCTTGTTACCTTGGGTGCTTCTACCCAGCCATGGCAGCTAGGCACGCAAACAGTGATGCCAGCGTCTTTCTTCTGTTTTTCCCATATGCTAGACTCACCTAGACAATTAACAAGAACAAACGGGCCAACTTTTACAGTGATGTGCAAATGTATCCATACCTCTTCTAGTATTTGACATTTTGCCAAGCCCAATTATATACTCAATTGTATTTTTATTGGGGGTTTTTTGTTTTGTTTTTCTGTTTTTTATCTGATAGACCGACAAAATGTATTATGTAATTGTAAAATGGAAGGAAAACATGGCATTTCAAATAATTTACAAATCTAATTTTAAAAAGTGCTTCAGATATTTATATTCAGTCTGTTTTCGAGAATTTGTTTCTCTGCAAGTCTTTTTGGCAACTTTGACAGCAGACTGATATGTCTGTCCAAACTCAGTTAGACTGGCGGAAGCTGGGAGTTTCCACTTTCAGGCTTTGCCACAGATTTTCAGTTTAATTTTGGTTCACTCTTTAACTATTCCCATCTAACTCAATCCTTCTTCGATCAAGACTATTTAGCACTGACTGTACTTTGTCCTCAAGATCTATCATCCTGCAGGTTTTCTCCTCCAACTCACCAGACTCAATTGGCTCATCACCATCTTCTAGCTCTGCCGAGTTCTGGTAATAAGCTGTTCATTTAATTCACATGTGAAGAAGCAGGGATGCATCTAAATGTTGCAGGAAAAAAAGATTTTAAGGCCTGGAGTCAGAAACCTCAGCAAGCTCTAACACATTTGTTGCCCTGAATTGACCCTGTGCCACAGAAAACATTTGCACGGTGTGATGATGCCACCACCATGTCAAATTTGGTCATTTTTAACAAGAGCACTTTTTGGCTGCTCTCTGACTAATGCTCTCCTTACCTATCAGTTCAGGTGTGCCTCCATGGTGCCTTTTGTTCATTGGCTTTTCTTTGTGTTTTTTTCTTCCTTCAACAAATCTCTTAAACCTTCACAGAACACCTGGATTTACACTGAAATTAAATTATTTTAAATTGAATTACTTATCACTTACTTTATTCATCAATCATTTGGAAAACAATAGATTATTTTCCTTGAATTTCACATGGACAACTTTGAATTGCTTTGTCTCACAAAATCCCCATTAAATACTCTTAAGTTTCCAGTCGGGACAAAAGTCATGAATTAAAAGTGGAATGAATACCTTTGCAAGACACTGTATTATGACCATTTCGCACATTGCAACTGTGAGCTTACACTTGGCCCTGAGGCATAACGTTTGGACTGTTTTTGATGGAGATTTACAACACAAACCAGCCACGACGTTGAAAACAATTTGGTCAACGATTGTGAAGTACTTTTGTTGATGCCTTTACATCTTCTTATTTCTTGCAATTATAAATATTTTGTAGTGCCAAGAAGTGAAGCATTTTTGGTGTTTTGTGAAAGCATCCTTCAGCCAAAACAACAAGGCCTGCGGTACATTTAGGAGGAGGCTGATGACAAAATGTGTAAAAAAAAAAAACTGTTGTGTTGGATTTTTATGATAAAACAGGTAGATTACTATATTGTTATAAAATACCCATATTTTCTTCCACTTCCTAGCATGAAATTTAGGGCTCATTGTCAGGTGAACCTCAGCATTCAGCATGTCAGTGCTCAAAAGTCAGTTTGATTTCTCATTAATGTGTAGCAGCAGACCATTGTAGTGTTTGACCTGGTTTAAGTCACAACTGTCATTTTTGACAAAAGGGAAGGATTTTGGGATAGTAAATCAGTGCAATTATGTTTTTGTTTGTTTGTTTTGTTCCTTCTGTATCTTTTGTCAATAACCTGGTGCTGGAAAAAAAATACACATTTAAAAGGTGCTACCAAGATGGACTTTAGGGTCCACTTTTTGGCTTTCTGAGAGCATACATTTGTGGTGAAACTGAGAAAGCCTGCACCCTCACAAAATTGCAGTCTTTGAATGCTCTGCAGCCAGCACCTCAAATCCACACAGTTTACAGCAGAACTCAACTTTCAATGGTGCCATTTTAAGTTCTCAACCTTCACAAGAAAAGATTACAGTTCTTAATGCTTGAATGATGTTTATTCTATTGGGTTCAGTGTATAGTTGGGTTTTATTTTTGCAATAAATCTGTCTGCACTAGGATTTCAATTCCTTTTCTCTGAGAG